TTTTTTTTTTTTTTTTTTTTTATTTCCTCGGCCGATCGATAAAAACCGCGAGCCGCGGGACGGAGGAGCTAAACGCTCTTGTAATCCGCGCGAATTATTACCGCGCTCGGTAACCGCGGTGCCGCTGCCGTTTCCCCGGTCGTCGTCGTTATCCCCTTCGCGGATCCGACGTCGTCGCCGTGCACGTACATATATTACAATAACAGCGATAGTAACCTCGCTCGCCGATAGCGTGTGCGCAGTGCACTGCGGGTATATATGCTTAATTACCGAGCGGTTTTTTTATTATTATTATTCTTTTTTTTTTTTTCTACAATATTATATTTTACGCTCGCCGCGCACAATAGAAAACGCGCACGCAAATCGCCGCGCCGTCCCTAAAAGAAAATGTCTCATACGCATGTGGGAAACGACACTGCGGCGGCGTAATCGGTCGAAACCATCACATTTCCACTCTTCTCGCCTTCACCGTATACACAATAATAATAATAATAATAATAATAGTACTCGCGTATAATAATAATATATATAGGTAATATAAGCGGCGTGTTTTACACGAGGTCCAACAAATGGCCGGGGCCCCGGCCGCCGATGCACTTTGTTGCTAATGTCTTTTTCTTTTTTTTTTTTTTTTTTTTTTTTTTTTTTTACGACCGAGAAGCCGCGCGCGCCGACAATAATTAACAATTAACTCCAACACTCAATCGCGACCACGCGGAAACGTGACCGCCGCCGCCGACCCGAGACCGCGAGACACACTATATAATAATATCTATACATGTATAGATATACTTTTTTTTTTTTTTTCCATATATATCGCCGCCACCCTATTGTTATATTACTCGCGCCTACACACACACACACACACACACACACACACACACACTGTATATAATTTGATCTCTTGCGATTATAAACATGTTTAGAACCGCGTATATGTGCGAGCGCGCGCGCGCGATTCTCGCGTATATACCGCTCTCCTCGCGACCACTCGCAGTTACGTTTGTACCGCGCAAGTATATATACCGGTACATACACGTGTACCCGTACGGCCGCGATAGCGTGTGTGCGTGTATGAGTGTATGAGTAGCCTGCAGAGGTGAAAAAAAAAAAATCATTATACTTGCGCGTAAGTATATACCGGTCCAATTAACGTCGCGTTCACACACCCGCGATCGGTATACTACATATAATTATTTGTGTAAAAAAAAAAAAAAAAATTACTGCGTTTTCCGCGTGCTGCACAGACTGTATAACACAATACATGGCGCTCGTAGGTCCGATTTCGGGAATTCTCGAGTTCTCACGTTGTTTTTTGACGGTTTATTTATTTATTTTTTTTTTCTATCGAGTTCCACGGTTCCGTCTGCGGCGACAATGATTATACGGCCCGAATTTACGTAGTATAATTGATTAATAAACTGCCGTTAGGCATTAGTGTCGGATTACGGCCGCGGTTTGAGAAGGAGCCCATATACCCGATTAGTTGTTGTTGTTTTTTTTTTTTTTTTAATTAAATTTAAATTATGCCTGTTGCCCGATTTCGCATCGGTCATGTCCAAGTTTACATATTCTATTCTTATATTGCTAATTATATTATTGCGTATAACGTGTGTGAAGAATAAAAGAACATTGTTTTGATAGTGTACAGGTACGCGTCATTGCGTTATTGAGTTTTCGGAAAAAACTAACATGAGATTACCGAGTGAGCAGCGATAATAACAGATAAAATTAGTGTGATCCATACAGTACAATTTACATACAGCCAATTTAAGCGCCCCGGAGGTAAACAGCGGGTACCTATATGGTATCATAATACCGGCGAGCGGTCGTTGAGTCGTGGTAAATAACTAACACTATCAAAATAAGGCATTATCAGTTCGGTGTGTGTAATGTGTGTGCAATAATGTCGTTTATAATCAACACACTATCAAATCGCGTAATAATAAAATTAAAAGAAACTCGTAATGTCGCTTACGTATACGACGGAAACGCAGGCGAGGATGGCCGGGCAATTCAAGTGTTAACGCAGCAAATGATCGAGAAGAACCGGCCACACGAAGTACGTATGGAAAGTATATTGGAGAAATCCAATCGATCGGGATGCCGAAAAGACACACAATTACAGTTCTACGCCGGATTTTAATCAGACCGATTCGAAGGTGTGTGGTCTCGGTAAAATTGATAAAGAACCGCGTTGTAGACCACGGCGAATAAACACAAGTGGCCGGAGGCATTCGTGTTGGAGGCAGCGCGTACACATTATTAACGCGGGGGTGCCAAGAGTTGGTTCCTTTCACTACAGGAAGAACTGAATACGTGGAACGCGTTCACGGAATCCTTCAAAAAAAATTTTTCGGCAACGGCGAGTAAATTGAAATAACTGTAGAAACAACTGCGATCGCGTACGTAAAGGTGAAACAGTTCATAATTATTATTTCCTCCACGATATTCGTGAGATTATTGGAGATGTTGAACATATACTTCCAAGGATCAAAGAATCTGTTGTGTACGTCCAATGGCTGAAAATACGGCGAATACATCATTATCGGTCGTTCTTTTATCAACAAGGAAAGCGAATCATTTGTCAAGACGAAATTTGAATTAGTTTTCGGATAAAACTGTGAATTTCCTTATTCTGACGATAACGTAGTGAAAGCATTTAACGTAATAACGACCGTGCGTGAATAAGCGGAATCGATAATTGCCGGAAACACTGGGATTGTCACAGTAATTCGAAACAGGATTTTGCGATAATAGAGGTGTTGGCGATCAACGACGGAACAACGAAAGTAAGGCTTGTAAGGTTAAAAAGCCAGTAAGGTACCGATAAAAATGAATGTGGTTGACTAAAATCAGTCATTTATGGCAGTGTAAGTTCAAAAACAGTTGGAGGAATTATGAAATGCACATAGAGAGTGTTTTGTGTTTCGAAAGCTTAGTTGTACCGTTTCGGTGAAAATTTAAATAGTAAACAACGTTGTAAAGTATATAGAGCTAGCGCCTCGAAACGAGAGACTTAGTGGAAATAGTCTATGAGTGGAAGGACGTATTGTAACGGAAACTGCATATCCTACATTCATTGCTTTTACTAGTAGTATCGAGGAAAAAAAAACGGAAAATCAAACATAGTGATAAATTATAGGAAGTTTAATACTATGAAGGAAGTATTCCCTGCCTTAAATATAGATGACGTTTTGAAGGTGCTGAGTAGAACCAAGATATTTAGATTAATGGATCGGGTATAGATCTTTCCTCGGATACTCCTCAATAAGGGAGCCGCCAAGAGAAACATGGCATTGATTACACCCACGCATACGGATCAATTCGAGCTTATGATATTTAGCCTGATATAAACACGCTGTATAAATTCTCGTGATTGATGTATCGGGCGATAAAACATCTACGTAACAAGGTAGTACTATGGTTTTTAGACCGTATCCTTGTACTCAAATCGATTGTCGAAGAAATAATTCGGCGGACGGTTTTAGTAATCGAGCTAGGCCAACTTATAGTGCTGAAACTATAAATAAGTGGAAGTTCGGTTGCATAAAAACGTCATATTTGGGTTATCGGATATCTATAGACCGAATAAAACCTTGGAAGTAGAAAATGGAAGCGATCATTGGTCCGACAAGACTTATAGACACACACGAAGTGAAACGTGTCCATGATCTGACCGCATTCCTCAGGCGGATTTTACCCCAATATGCGACAATATGCAGTCCAGTTATTAGTGAACTAATAAAAGAAGACGAACCGCATGTGTGGACAGAGAAACGTGAAAAAGCTTTCGAGAACCTTAAAAATAAACCAACTCAGAAGTGAGTACTACGTCTGTATATCCAAAAATTATACAATCGAACCGAAAATGTTGCACACGGCTTTAGTTTTTGTAAAAATTATACGAGTACGTAAAATGTGAAAAAAGCTAGCACATTACGGGTGTTTTGTCAACCGTCGGTAGCGCTCTCCGTACATGATAGTGTTTACTAAAAATTGTATTGATTTGTAACGATGAAATAAATTACGATTGTTCGCGATTTATCGGATCATATTTTTTTTTTATTTTTTTTGCAGCCAAAAATATCAAATCCGCATAAATCGCATAATAGTAGGTACACCGGCGCTTATGCAGGCTGATACTATTTTGCCTCTCTGGTATATGATGAGTATATATTATTTAAAAAAAAAAAAAATTAATAGCAATAAATATTGTCATAGCAGTTCATTTCCGTTGGCGCACGACGGACAGCACCGAAATAATATTGTTATAAAAACAAACGCCTCCGGTGCAGGTAATCGTCGCTGTATAATCGGAGTTGCGGTGTTCGGTTTTTTTTCCTCCTCTGTCGTGGCTGTACATAGTAATTATTATTATTATATGTGTCGAGACCACATTAAACAATACTTAATCTATCATCCGCCGCCGCCGCCGCCGTTGTAATAATAATAAAAGAAAAGAGAGAGACAGTGAAAAAAAAAAAACCGATGAACAACAGCACTGCACCAAAAACCTCCACGGAGGAAGTACCGTATAGTCGTCGTATTATATACAGTCTATGTTAAACGTACCGAATAATATGTTTGTATTTTTTCTGAACGAGTTACACATATTCGACCTGTTGCAAAGCATACACACAGATCGTTAGATATTATTATTACCATTTTTGTTTTTGTTTTTTTTTATCCGGAAAATTAGTCGCGTACCTATCTACGTAATCGGCGCACGAATTAGGAGACTTTCTCGACCGTCTAATCTGCTGCAACCGCACTCGCCTATATAATTGTATTATTATTACCTATACTGTAGTTTAATGCGGCCGGAGAATGTGTTAATTTTTTATTTCCCACCCCCCTCCCCTTGACTTATGGGATAGTGTTTTACATTTTTTTTTTATTTTTTTATTATCCCATCGATTGACATATTACACAGTTCAAACGACCTGCACCTATATGTGTACCGTGACGACTTAACGATTTCAAATCATTTACACGAGACATAAGTACTCGACTCACAATAAGTTCCGCGAGATTTAAAATCGACGACTAACGACCGATGAGTGTCGACGACAACGCACACGAACGAGGACCGTAAACGCTTTTGAAGTCGTCAATAGTCACCTAATTCGAAAGGAAAAAAAATCGTGCGAGATTGGAATCGAATATCGACGACGACGAGCGAACATCGTGAATTCAATGGGAGACGTTTAACGAAAATCGATTACAAGGATTATCGGTTGAGACCTAACGGTTTTTTGTACTCGTTTTAAAAACATGACCATAACGTAATTAAAAAACAAAATCGGTTTATTAGAATAATGGTGCAATGGTGTGATGAAGTGATATATTTATAGGCTCATTCTACGTTATCCTAAAATTACCTGTATACACGGCATTCAGTTTTACGCTTGCATACAAAAACTGAAAATCTACCGTTTTTTATTTTTGTTTATACAACTCCATCGTTCTGATTAATCATAATAACAGATGAAGAATTATTTTTTTACCTACGCTATTTTTTTTTTCAATCCTAAAGGGGTTGAGTTTCCGAAATGACTTATTATCATTAGGATAAACGCTGCTAGTCCTCATTATGAAAACGGTCGCTACAGGTTAAACCCTTAGAAGGCGTGTATTTAAAACCTTTCGGGATAAAATGTAGTCCATGTCACTACTCAGTCATTCAAATATCCCTATGCGAAAATGTCGACGTGGAAGAGCAATAAATCATCAAACAGACACACTTTCGCATTAATTACGAGTATATCATTTCTGGCTATTTATAACAATATTATTGTCGTTCGCACGGAAACTGTTTACCACTCGAGTTGTCAAGTTTTAAGTAAATATTTTGATACTTTCTACGTTCAATAAAGAATCGTTATACATTTTATGTTTTTTGGAAGTAAAAGATGATAATGAGTATCATTGACGGTTCATTGATTGGATTATGGGATATTGTCATCGTCTGGGTTACGGATACCGTTATTCACTGGTGCGTCGATAAATGTGTATCACGGTTAACGTCGTTATTAACATAGTAATACATTAAGAATAAATGATAGAAAATTGGTTTTTTTTTTTTCATTATTATTATTTGACTTAAGTGTCTATTACATTTTTATATTTCAGAACCGATCTCGGACGAGTAAGGGATGATTATAAACAAGCAGGCGATTGCAGGCGATTGAGAATCACACAACCAATAAATGCAGGAATGCAGGATCAACGGAATCATTGGTAGATGGACAAGGAAATCGTATTTTTAAAAATAACTAATGGTAATTATACTAATAAATTTTCGATTTTTTATGTATAAACAACAGTATACACATACCAGCAATGTCAGCTATTATTATTTATTCAATCTATTAATTCTATAACTTCATATATTTTTAATTTAATTTTTTGCATAATTTCAGTTTAGCTACCGAGCGATTTTTAAAATTTGTTTTTTCCTACACGTGACATTGACTATTGCGCCGCGACATAATTTTGTTGCATTAACGAATGTATATAATTTAACCATAACCGTAAAATCGACAAAATTTAAATGACTATAACTTTAAAAACTATTGATCAGTCCAAATTGCCGTTAGCACTATTATTTTTAAAACGTTAATTTACTTATGGTTCAAAAAAAATAATCGAAAAAAACGCTCGGTTACTAAACTGCAATTGTTCTTCAATCATTTTATAAAATAATCTAAGGTTGAACAATTTTTTAATCATAATCATAAAAAGCGTAAAATGTATTTATTGATACATGGGACAAAATAGAAACCTCCCCATTTCGCTCTTAAAACACACTTATTTATTTGAACATTTTTTTCAACCGTAGATTATTCTATAAAATGGTTAGAAATTATATCAGAAAAACAGATCGTTAGTTTTGGAATGAGAAAGCCATGGAAAGGCGATCACGGCATGTTACAACATGTAACATTATTTTTTTCTTTAAATTACTTATAAAATCATTTATAAATATGAAATTAAAAAAACATGAACTTTGCACATGGGTGCAGCCACTATTGTAGGGGAAAAGTTGGAAAGGTATGCTACAGACGGGAACTTAATGTATATCTGTAAGCATTGATAATCCATTGCTAATGTAAAAACAATTATGAGCCAAGTTCAGTTGAAAATGTTGATTGTTAACAATACAATATATGGTATTATGTCATATTATGGTAAAATTATTATAACGAAGTGGGTTTCCATGACAACAACGAGTGTTTAAAAAAAATTAAAATAATAAAAACAGTTGCCAATGACAAACTCATTTTTAATCTTTCTATTTTATTTAACCTAAAGACCAAGGTTTTTCTCAAAAACTCGAATATTGATGAAAAAATGTCCGCCCAATGTCTAAAATATCACCCAGAGAAAATTTCCTTTCAGAAAATGTTATACACTTGATAATCCGAGTATGATTTCTGGTAGAAAAAGTGTTCGCAAAAAAAAAAACAAAAACAAAATAATCATTGTAATGTAAAAATTTGTGTTTTGTTATATTTTTGTCAAATTTGTATACATTTTGTAGAGTACCCCATCTTGCCCCATATATAGGGCAAAATGAGCTTTTTATATTTTCAATTTTTACTAAGTCAAAAATTATTTTATTGTTAACTGATAGTGGTATTATATTAAACGATATAAAGATCATATTACAGTAATTTCAGTAGATAATCAAATAAAATAGACAATTTATTCCTATTAAAACCTTAGCGTCTCCATTTCACCCCATGTTTCCCTACCTTCATCTAATGATAAAATAAAACAATAAGTTGATTTTAATTTTAATTCTATAGCAGATTGAATTATAAATGACTAATAAGAAACTTAAAAATAATTGATCTTTTTTCCTTCTTTGATGATCTATACTCTATACGGTATGTACAATATTTCACAGTTGTCAAATTCATTATCTTCCTCCTTGTGTAGACAAAACTGACAAAAGCGCCTTTGTAAGTAATTTACTCTATCAGATTTCGACTAAATCTCCGTACAAATGAAAATTTTACCATCTCAAATTTCGCGTCATTTCACGTAGACTTAGTCGAGTGTTATTTTTAGTTTTTTTTTTTTTTTTTGAAACTCGGTAATACACGCGTAATTGGTTATAGGGCATTGTCGATGAAACCCATTTCAAATATTCTAATTGACCGAAACGAAATTCAGTTTTTTCTTTTTAAATCACGATGATGTGCATTAATTTTTATTTTTCTCTAGTTCTTCGATAGTAATAGGTAGTATAGGATTTTGCAGTTTACGATTATTATTATATTCAGTTTACGAGCTGTGTTCGTAATAATAATAATTATTAATTTAAAACAGGAAAAGACTCGTGGTCTTCGTCGACGAAAAATAAACCCGTCGAGCAGGCGGCGGACGATGTGTGTGAGTGTGTGTGTCAATAACAACGGAATACAAAATTAATATTATTATTGTACGTGTTTGACTGCAACGAACGTATTAATTTTGAATATTGACAATGAAAATTATGACGTTTTTCGCCAAATGTCGATGTTAATATTACTATTATAATATAATGTTAACAATCGTTTGACCGTCGATAAAAACAATATAATAAAATACGGTGTGCTGATTTGCTTTTTTAAATTCGTAACACAACAACAATATACGCCGGTAGTCATGTGACAATAACCTTCGTCCGTAAATATTACGCGTTAGTTCTTGCTGTCAGGCGAAAAGAAAAAAAAAATCACAAATCACTTTTCAAATCGGTTTAATATAATATGACGTATATACTCGTAGTTACAGGTACCGCGGTTAATTCCGTTCGTTACTTTTTCCGGCAAATTATTTAAATACCGAATAAAATCGATTTTCGTTGTGATTTTTAATTCGATTTTAAAATTATGTAGGTATCTATAAATCTGCATGCATTGTTGTGATGAAGTTTTTCATTTTCTGTTCTAGAAAGCCGCGAAGTGAGCACGTCGATTCAAGGGATTTTTAATCGTTATGGGTTTTTATATTAAATAACTCTAAAAAATACTATTGTATATTCACAAGATATGAGGAATACTTGCAGCTATAGAATAAGTATCTAGACGGAGATTAAAAACGCGTATAACGGTTCACTATTATCTATAAATACAGGCAAATTATCAGCAACTTTTTATCAAAATAAAAAAGATACTATAATATGTTGTCTCTTAACGTGAAATAGAGTGTAGTTTATAATAATAGTTAATAGCGTATAATTTCAATAAAATTGTGCGATTAACTATAAGTAAACTGTATTCAAAATACATCAAATTTGTCAACTGTTGTACAATACATCTAATAAAAATATGAATTGCAACTCAAAACATCATTTGTTTAAAAACGATTGAATTATGTATTTCGGATAACTAAATTCCCGTTAGTACGGATACGATAGAGATAAAAATATTCATATACTATCTAGATGTATAAAACACAACACTGTAACATAGTGCCCTACGAATGTACACACGCAATATGATATCGCGGAAAATATGAACTTTTTATCGACAATTTCTGAAACAAACACAGTTCTAAAATGTTACATTTCCATTATTTTTCGTTACGGTTATTTTTTGAGAGTGAAACAAACACCCAATTTTAATAAAATAAGGGTAACATTTTTGAACAACTCGTTTCTTAAATTGTCAAAAAAAGTTAATACTTTCCGATACGTCGCCATGAGTATCTTCGTGAGATATATATATTTCACACGACTTTTTGAAAATGTATTCGTATAAATTCGTCAAAGTATTATAATATATTATATTACGTTGGCTGAATTGCTCTGTGTTTCCCGAGCTCAATCCTTCTAAAAACAAAAATCAATAAAACAAATTCAATTAAACATGTAATCCACATCTCTATGGCAGTCAATTGTTGTCACCCGATAGATAATCTTTTAAAAAAACTACTTCCTTGTTTATAACAACTAAATTAAATGACAATAACCGTTTTTTTTTTTTTTTATCTGCGTGAAAAGACAAAGACCCATAAATCAAGAAAACAAAAAAAAAATGTTCCAAAAACCCCGTGGCAAACACCCGTTGGGAGTTTAATATCAACGGTTTTCTTCTTGTTTTGAACATTAAATGTGTAAAGTTTCGTCAAGATCGGAATAAAACTGTAGATTTGTGTAGCGAGCAGACCGATAGACACAGACACACGTACCGAATTTTAATTTTAAGTACAAGAGACGTAGCGCATGTAATTCGACGACCCGTATATATTATTTACTTTGGAACTTCTTTACCGCGATAATGTTACCCGAGTGTTACCATATTATTATATTCTCTCGGTTTCGTTCGGTTCGTCTATATTGGATGCCTAATATATAAATATATATATATAATTGACGATGGCGGCGTTGTACATTTTCGTTTGTATTTCCTTGCGCGCGAAATAATTAAATTCGACAGTGTCGGTGTCACGTTAAGCATACATGTTTACGTCCGTATCAATATACGGGATTGGAAAACGACTTGCGTGAAATTATCTACAAAAATACGGTCATATTTAATTCAACCGAAATGAGAAAAAAAAAAAAAACAAGACCGCGTATGCAGATTTATGTCTAAACGATAATGATATAATAATACACGAGGATTATAACTATACACCGAGAAAAATAAGTTTTTTTTATTTTATTTTTATTTTTAGTATTTCCATTTCAAAGCCCGGACGAGTTTTTTTTTTCTTTTTGCATAAAATAATATTCGATTTTTATTGCTAAACGGTGTATATTATTGAATCGATGCGACTTGCACGCCACAGTTGCAGATGAATCATTACACACTACAAAGTATAAATTGTTATAAATTATTATTATTCACGTATTCGTAGATGTGTCGTTCAGATATATTATGCATATATAATATGTACTCAAACGACTAAATTCGTATAATTACATTAATTGTATAACAATATAATAAGAAACGTTTTTCCCGTTAAATAAAACAGGTTTTTTTATAATATGTACCTGAGATTAACTTGAATTTCCTTTAAAAATAATTTTTTTTGGGGGTCTATAAAGTGTGTCACGCGAAATATTGAAGTTGGATCCACTTAGAAATGGGTTTTTTTTATTAATTTTTTTTTTTCAGAAAAATCGGGGATACCGAAACAATATACGTTTTGGGCCTTTACTTTAAAAAATTTAATCCTTATTGTGGTTAGCAATAAAACTTGCATGTTTTTAAAATCTAAACAACGTTAGAATGGTCCTATTTTTTT